CTCCTTCTTCGCGCTGGCGCTCCCTCTCCCCCTCCTCCTCCCCCTCCTCTTCCTCCTCCTCCTCCTCCGCCTCCTCCATCTCCTCCTCCTCCTCCTCCTCCTCCTCCTCATCGTCATCATCATCCTCCTCCTCCTCCTCCTCCTCCTCCTCCTCCCCGCTCTCGCTCGCCGGGGCCGGGGGGGTCGAGCAGGCGGGCGCACTGTTCAACCATGATGGCGCCCGCGTGTCGGGCGCAAGGGGCGCGCGCGCGCCCTGCTCGGAGCCAGCTCGGGGCGCGGCATGGCGACGGGGGGGCCTAGGGAACCTTGAACATGGAATCCGCGGTCTGGAAGCCAGGACTTTGAATGTGGATCGGCCATGATATCGCCGTCGCCCTCTTCAGATGAGGAGCCCCCCAGTGTTTGACGCCTCCAGGGCACGTTACGTAACCGACGCCCCCACCAAAGCACGCAGAATCTTCCGAAATTTTAGACGCTTCGCGTATCCCCACTAGCCCATCCAGAAACGATGTCCAGGCGAGTTGAGGTGATCTGGGAAGTGCAAAGGAGTGAGGAGGAGAAGGAGGAGGGGGATGGACGGATGGATGAGGGAGTGGGAAAAAAGGAAGATGAATAGGATGAGGAGGAGGCGGAGGAGGAGGAGGAGGAGGAGGAGGAAGAGAAGGAGTAGGAGGAGGAAGGAGGAACAGGAGGAGGAGGAGGAGGAGGAGGAGGAGGAGGGCAAGCACAAGGGCCAGAGGTCTCTTGGATACCTCTCGGAGCCTGTTGGGGTATCTCTTGGGCGATTCTTGGTGGCCTCTTGGGACGTCCTGGGTGTCTCTTGGCGATCCTTGGGGGCTCTTTGGGGTCTTGGGTGCCTCGGGGGGGCCTCTTTGGGCCGCTTGGGATCCTTTTGTGGACCTCCTGGGGGCCTCTTGGGGGCCTCTTGGGGCCATCTCGGGGCCATCTTGGGACCTCTTGGGGCCTCCTGGGCGCTTCTTGGGGCCATCTTGGAGGAGATCGATCAAACAAAATGGGGAGCTTGACTTAGGGCCCTCCTCCTCAGGAGGCCAACATGGGGCCACAACCCTAGTAAAACCAATGATTTTGGCTTCCTCGCCGAGGCCGTTTTGGACCCTGTCCAGGTCCAGGGCAGGGGGAGGGGTAAAACCCTCCCCGAAGGGGAAGAAGGAGGGGTGGAAGAGGAAACGCCCTAAACCACCCACGCCTACAGGGCTGGTGGCATGGGCTCCGGAAGCTCCTGACCAAATTTGCTCGTGACATGGGCTCCGGAAGCTCTCGACCCCATTGGCGACCCCATTCCCAAGGCATTTTTCTCACAGCTTTTACCTTGACCCATGCTGAAGCACCTCGAGCAGCTGTGCCCGCTGCGTGCCTCAGTGCGTCATTTCTCGCATGCGCGGCCCCGTCCGCTGACTGTGGGGCCGCGCATGAGAGAAATGACGCGCTGCCCGAGCTTGCGTCATTAACGAAGCGCGCGCGCGGCCGTGGCGACAGGAAAGGGCCCCTCAAGGGCTCCCGGGGCCACCTCTATAGAGGGTGCACATGCAGCAATACCGTCATAAGAGGAGGGGGAGGACAAGGAGGGAAGCGAGGACGACGGCGACGGCGACGACATGCATTTGCAGGGAACATGCCGTCCTCTGGAGCATCAGAACCTTCTCGTTCTGTCAGCGCGGACCCATCGCTGGACCCCTCGGGTTCTGTTGGGGTGGGAATGCGGTCGTGCCAGAATTTCCGGGACATCTCGAGCCGAAGCGCTCTCCTGACCCCATGCTGACGAAAATCCGCTGGGATGCGGGGCATGCGACGCATCTACCATGCACCCCGAAAGTTTTGTTATATAGGTGTTGCATGTGTGATTTGTATGTTAACGTGGTGCATTTGCGAGTCTAATTCGATGACGGGAGCGCGGTCATGTGCGCAACGCCATGCAACGCAACGCAGGACGATTGCAACAGGCTGCGATCGGGCGATGGTAAGAAATTCTGATGCAAATTCATGCAACTCAACACAATTCACAGCAACGGTACGCGATTGGCCGCATGAGGATCTATCGCGATCAGCGCAGCGCGCGATTCGCCAGCAAAGCATGTGCACAGGCATGTACTAGATTGATGGCATGCGGGCATCGCCCAAGTTGAGCTTTCGGGTCCTCGGGAGAGCATTACCCAAGAAAGCTCGCGGGAGCCATCCAAGGCCCGTCTTTGCCCAGCTTCCGATCCTCCAGGTAGGGGGTTCTGTCCACCCCCGAATCCTCGCGTCGCTGTTCAGACTCAGAGTCGGAGGAGTCAGTCTCGATCAGGAAATAAATGCTAGTCCCGTCGCCATATATGTCATACTTGCGGCCGGCCAGCTTCTCGCACCTTCCCCGAGGCGATCGCGATCTGGAACGCCGGACAGAGGCCGCAGGCAGCGCCATCCGTGTAGCGCGGCAACTGGTTGTCACTAGCAGCGCGGCGCGTGGTTCCTGGGCTTGAACCTTGAGCCAAAACGGCTACGGAACCATGGTGCCGTGGCATCCCGCCTGCCATCATTCGGGGATGGACAGACCCCCCCTTAGTAAAACGTGGTTTAATGAAAACGACCTGAGGCCCAAACCTGGCGGGCGCAAGCTTGGAAAATAACGGCCGCGGCGCCCTCTCGAGAGCCAAAAACAAACAATTCACGAATCGACGTGTCCCTGTTGGGGGTTCTGTCCACCCCCGAATCATCTCGGGGCCCCTGGGGCGATGACGGAGCTAGCCTGCGTCGCTGGAGCGAGCCCGGGGGAGGGCAGAGTAAAGGGGGGAGGAGGGGGGGGGCGGAGGAGGAGGCGGAGGCGGAGGGGGAGCAGCAGCAGCAGCAGGAGGAGGCGGAGGGGGAGGAGGAGGGGGGGTTTCCACAACGCCCGACATCGGGGCCCCTGCTCCTCGGTACTCGGGAACCTCGTCTGGAAACTCGCGCGCGCGACCGCCCACTTCGGCCACTGCCGAGCACGCCCACTCTGGGGCGGACTGCGCGCCAACAAGAAACAAAAACACCCCCCCGTCTCGCAACTTCTCAGGGCAACGCAGAGCTGAGACACCCAAATCAGCCGCGCGAAAAGCTGTCAGCATGACCGACTGTGGGGAAGGCGGCACGTGCGATCCCCGCCTTCGTCGACGACGTCGGCGTCGTCGTCGTAAACATCGTCCTAAACATCGTCTCCATCGTAGCCGACGTCGTCAACCTAACCTACAACGGGGGCTCCGAGGATCCGGCGGCGCCGTCGCAAGCGCCTGCAGGAGGCGGCTCGACGCCCAGCGCCTGCTGCACGCAGCCCGGGAGGCAACTCCAAGCGCCCGCGAAGGCCGACCCCTTGATCGCAGCGACCACCTTGTTCTTCTCGGCGGCGAGGGTCTTCTCCTTCTTGAACTTCGGCAGGGCAACCAGCACGTGGTAGAGGGCGAAGGTCACTGACACCTGCTTCTGGGCATCAGTGCAGGTGCCCTTCATGTCCGCCCTCTCCTCTGCACTCCAAATGGCCAGGCCCTGAGCAGCCCGACACATTGCCAACAACTTGTCTGATAATGGAGAAAGATGTTGATAGTGCGGGGAACGCAGCAGTTCCTGGCACAACTCATTGTTATCCAACAACTTGTCCTGTTTGGATTGCCAATCGATGAGCACGATCCCGCCCATGCAAGCCTTCGCGACATCTGCCCAAGAATCGCGGCACATCTTCTGGGCGCTACGGGCCCATGCTGACGCCCGGGTGAGCGCGCGGGGGAGGTCCATCTCGTCGAAGGCCTTCGGGTGCAGGTCGCCACAGGGAACCTCGGTGAGCACCTGGTCCACCAGGATCTTGAAGTTCTCGAGCTCCCTCTCCCTGCATACGCATGTGGTGTACTCTTCGAGGCTACGCAAAGTCTCGTACACGTCCTTGTAAAGCTTGCCCACGTGGTTGGTTAAGACCAGGTCGTCGAGGGAAGTGCCCGCTGACCGATGCCACTTGTTCAGGCGGACTGTTGCCACGATGCACCGAAAGGCTTTGTCCATGAATGTCGCCTGAACCCTGAGGGCCGTGTCCCCCGTGCTGGCGGCGACGACCAGCGCGTCCTTCACCATGTCACGAATGTTGTCGCCCGAAAGCCCATCCCAATGCTCTTCCAAGTCGACGGCGCAGAGAGGATCGGCATCCGGAAGGGCAACGCGCTCGGCGAACTTGACCACCTGCACGTGGTCGACAATCGGCTTCAAACAGGAGTCCAATCTACTCAATAAAGCATGATCAAATTCGGAGGCCACTGGCGAGTTCACAGGGTCCTGCAGCTTGGTCACCAAATCAGTCAGCCTCTTTATCATCTTACTCGCTTCGCCAGGCTGAGCTGTATAGAGAGCATTCGTGGTGCTCTCAATCTCCTCCGGGACTTTCATCAGCGAGCAGAATCCTACCGGCCCTCTCGGCGACAGGTGGTCTCACGCGAATCCTCTTCCCCTCCAAGATGGGCCCCGAGAGGCCCTCCAAGGCTCCCAAGGGGCCCCCAGGAGCGCACCAAGAGGCCCCAATATGGCCCCAGGCGACCCCAGAGGCCCTCAAGACGGCCCCAAGAGAGCCCAAAGACGGCTCAAGTGGCCTCCAAGACGCCCAAGATGGCCTCCAAGACGGCCGATATGGCCCCAAGATGGCCCAAGTTGGCCCCAAGAGGGCCCCGATATGCACCCAAGATAACCTCAGGCTGGCCCAAGACGGCCAGAGACGACCCCAAGGGGCCTCCAAGACGGATGTGGTTCACTTTGGGGTTGCTTGCTGCTACACCTCCCTCATCAAAGCAACTCGCCTTGCGGCTGCTTTGGGATGGGTTGGTGGGGATACGCGAAGCGTGAAGAATTGCGTCTTGAAGTACACCAGGTCCTTGATTGTCTCCTCGCCTGTCAACTTCAAGGGCATCATACTGGACAGCCCCTTGAGGCAGTCGCGGGCGGCCGCCAGGGTGTCGAGGCTCGTGCTGCCGAAAAGTTTGGCGATGCTTGATCGCCATGTCCAAGGAGGCCAGGGCGTCCTCGAAGAGGTCGCCGCCGTCCTCCGTCGAGGCCTTGAACGCGTCCTCGCCCGTGGGGTTGAACTGCTCGCGGAACACTGTGGCGTCGAGGGCATGCCAGAAGTTGTAGAATATACCCATGAAGAGGATGGTGGCCCACCGGTCGATGTCATCCTTCTTGTCGGCGAGGATCTCGGCGGAATCGCACGGCTGCAACGCCGCCAGGCGCTCCGCGGGCCCACTCAGGAGGCCCATGATCGCGATCATGCAACTCCCAGGCTTAATCACGTCAACATCGGGAATATTCGAACTCAAGGACTCGAGCGCCATCGTGCACTCAGCCTTCCTCTCCCTTCCCTCGTGGCACGCCTTCGCATCAAGGATAATAGCCTCGCCCTGCTGGTGCCCCATGATAATCCCGATGATCGCCAGCTCGCCCGTCTTACGAATGGCATCCAGAGCCATCGCAAGGTCATCAGCGTCAGGCTTATCTGGGCTGCAGAGTGTCTTGAGAATTTCGAACTCGCGCATGTCGTCTGATGTGAACAACGTCTTGGCACCATCTGGCGTGTCGTTAAGAATGTCCAAAATTGTGTTCGCGGCAAGCTCGTACTCTGAATCATCTGGCCCATCCTTGAGTGTATCTGTCAAAATAGTCTGGAACATCTTTATGCGCTGCTGGCGGTGCGCGGCCGCCTCGAAACCCGCTGCTTCAAGGCTAGCTGGAGCGAGGGGCTTCCAGAACCCATCTGTAGAATCCACCTTCTCGACCTTCTTCATCAAGACAGCCTGCGACACCCACGCCGGGAAAGGTGATGCGGCGACGGGGTCCAACATCAAGAAGTGCGACGAGTTCTCGTAATCCTTCAGTAGCTCCGCGTTGAACACTCCATGCTTCATCCAAGACCTGCTGAAATCCAATGCCGCCTGGACTGCTTTTTTTCACCGCGAAGACCTTGGGCTCCACCTTGACCTTGCTCTGCTCCGCGTGCGTGTTGATGTCCTTTATGAGCCGAGCAAGATACTCACGGTGGGTCCGCGCCTGCCCGAAGAACTTCTCTCCGTCGTTGCAGTCTTTGTAATCGTCCAGCGTCTCCTCCGCAACTTCGATAATGTCACGCTGGGGGCGGCCTCTTTTCTTTTCCCCACCCGCAGCTGGCTGAGTCGGTGGATTCTGGGCGCCACCTTCTCCGGCAGTCGTAGCGCGAGTACCTCGAGGAAGCTTGGCAAGCGGGAGTTCGTCAGCATCTTGCTGCGGGTGCGCGCCTCCAAGCGCGGGCGCCAGCACTGGCGTGAGCGCGTCTCCCAGCGTAGGTGACACCTGCGGCGGCTGCTTGACCTTCGGCTTGGGCTTCGGCTTTGGCGTCACAATGCCCCTGCCCTTGCTCTTGCTTCCACTGGTCGGCGTATGCGCCCGCGCAGCTGCATCGGAGACCTCGGCGAACACGCCCCCCGACCCGCCCCGCTGGATCCCCTCGGCGCCCCCGTCGTCGCTCATGTTGTCGGTGGTCGGCCCCTGCATCGCATCCGTTGGTTTGGGCGCCGAAGATCCCGAACTTGGCGCCGCTGCCACATCCCTTTTCATCTGGTCGAGACTGATGCCGCCAGCAACGGGGTACGCCGCAAACAGGCTCGCCCCCAAAGCCGCGAAATCGGCTTCTGCTTGGCCCCGGCCGAGACGCAAACTGCCGTCGTCGACTATCTCCTCTTCGACCGCCTCCTCGATTTCATTGCGCTCAACCTCCCAAACCTTGGGACCTGGGAGTTTGACGCATTTGCTACCTTTCCAAATGACCTTCTTGTGACCTTTCCCGTTTGTATCGGGATCTCCATGCTCCATGTAGTAATCAGCCTCCAGCATGTACAGGTCCTTCGGGTTCTGGGTCTTGACCTGGGTTTTCTTGACCTTTTTGATGACCGTGTCGATCTTGCCCCAGTCTACGTTGACGCGATCACGGCCCGCCCCACCCATCAGCTTCAACTGGTCGACCAGGTTGGTCATGTAAGCAAAGAACTTCCTGTGCTCTTCGTCGCCCGAGCCGATCTGCGTCTCAAGTTTGCCCAAACTCCAGCCCTTGCATTTGTAGCGGGCGTCGAAGATTTTGACGCAGTAGTAACAATGCCTGCCAGCGTTTTTCCCTGTCATAGGGCATCGTGGTTTGCCCCATCGTTTACTTTCCAAGGGAAAGATGTCGTCGCTCTCGGTGTCCAGGCACTTGCAAAGTTTACAAGATCGTCCGTCTGGGCACGCCGCAACAGCATCCGCCCGAGGTGAGAAACGAGACCTCTTCTTCAAGGTGGTGCCCCCCTGACCGTCGATGGGATTGATGGCGCCCCGGAGGGCATGATCCATCTTGCCCCCCTCGCCCGACCGTTTCCCGCGGAGCAAGGCCATCTCCGAGAACTCTGAGGGCGCTGCTCGCAGGCGTAGCGAAGGCGTAAATCGCACGCGCACTTGAAGCCAAAACTGCTTCGCGGATATGATGGTGACACCTATGTCGACTAACTTCGCGCATCGCGCCTCGCAAAGAGCGACGCGCGATTATCGTCGCACCCCCGCGCCGCTCCCTGGAGACGGACAGCTATCCAGCCCGGGCCGCGAGGCGCGAACCGCGAATTATCTCCACGCCTCCAGAGGTGGCCTGGGATATACTTTGACGCCCCCCACCCGCCCCCAGTGGAACTCAAGAAGCGCCCAAGAGGCCCCGAGGGGCCCCCAAGAGGCCACCAAGAGTCAAGAGGTCCCGAGGGGCCCCCGAGAAGCCCCCGAGAGGCTCCAAAGCGGGCCCAAGAGGCCCCCAAGACGGCCCCGAGAGCGACCCAAAAGGCCACCAAGAGAAGCCCAAGGTACGACCCAGGGAGGAGGAGGAGGTTAAGGCACGACCTCGTTTCCCTGGGTCGAGGGTTTTCAGGAGGAGGAGGAGGACGACGACGAGAACGAGGAGAGGGCGGGAGAGGGATGAGGAGACGACGGAAGAGGAGGGGAGGGGGAGGAGGAGGGGGAGGAGGGTTGGACATCATGCGACGTCGACGCTGCCCTCCCCAGAGGGTCACAGCCGACAGCGCGCATCCCGCGCCCAAAGGGCTCGCGCGACAACGGCCCGTCGACGACGTGGACCTCGCACGCCGGAGGGCCCTCGACGACCGCCCTGGCGCACCAGAAGTGGTCGAACACAGGGGCGAGGCCGAGGAGCGTGGACCCGACGGTAAACCCTGAGCGAGAGCGGGATGGGGGAGGGGGGGGGCGGGGGAGGAATGGGGGAGGAGGAAGGGGCGGAATGTGAGGGAGGAGGAGGAGGAGGGGGACGAAGGAGGAATGGGCAATGGGGGGGGAGAGATGGGGGAGGGAAGAGGATGGTGGATGTGGTGGAAGATCGCGGATCGCAATCCTGAGAAAGCGTTCCCCGCGAACGACAACATCAGCAAGTCATCGTCGACGCGCGGCTGCTCCGAGGCGAGCGGGTAGCCCATCAACTGCATAAGCTGGACGCCCCTCAGCACGCTCCACTTCCGCCCGACCCCGGAGATGTCCACCCGCATGGCTATCTTAGATGTTGCCGCAAGCGTGGGGCACACCTGGGACCATATAGATGACGCAGTCCCAGCGCTCAAGAACTTCGTGCTCAAATTGCAATCGAAGAATTCTGGAGCATCTGGTGCGCGGGTGCGTGGGAACGACAGCTCCGCATAGATAATGCGGTTGCGGAACCGAGGGTTTGTTATGCCCCGCAAACATTCATACATCCCAACTGGCAAGCGATCCTCTGGAGGTGGATAAGGGCACTGGATATCTGCGAACAATGCGATGTAGATCCCATGGAATGCACCACGATCGAGTTGATCGGGACCACTGCCACAGCCATCGGGGTGCTCTGGCCAGTACGCGTTGATATCGTCAAGCACGCCGAAAGAATCTCCGAATATATGTGACCACCCAATCGGAGCGATGACTGTGTTATGCATGGACAAGCGAACGTTGCGGAAAAGTTCGTGGCCATGATCAAGGGACTTAGCTTGGACTCCGCAGAACCACAGGCGCTTTCTACGACACTGCGCGCCATGGGAGCAAGCGTCGTAGACGTGAGCCGAAACTGAGTAACCCGCAGCCTTGAACTCCTTCACGATCCAATCCTTGTCCGAGAGCGACTGGTCCTCGATCGCCTGGCCCAGCTCCTTCACATTTTCCAAAAGAAAAGCTCGCGGTCGCTTGGCATCGATAAAGTCGAACGCCATCCGGAATGTAGCTCCAGTAAGTCCCTCTCCATTTTGCACACAATTGCGGCACTTCGTTCTGTGCTTGCTGAGAGGCGAACGGTTTACACAAATGAATCCAGCTAGGTAGATGTCAATCTGGGGTACGATGTCGTACGCCCCAGTCACGGTATTATGCGCGGTGGCGTTTGCCAACTCACCTGCGTCTCGGAACACGTGCTTGCAGGAAGGGAACGCAGTCCGGAGCCACGCATTCTTGGTGAGATCCTTCTCGCAGCAGAATGAGTGCTCGACGCGAACGGTGACGTTGTACTTGAATGTCCAGAAGCTCACGAGGCGCTGCAACACCACCACGGCAATGTCGCACCCTGAGAAAGCAGTCCCAATCCTCAATGCGCTTCGGCAGCTGAGCTTCATCAAGCCATTGATGAGCTGTGTTTGTTGCGAGGAGTCCAACATCACGTGCCAATCCGCGATGGCGACGTCAATGGCGTCAACCAGCTGCGTGCGCGGAGGGCATGTAGCGGATGGTTCAGCAGGTTGATGGCCAGGGGCAACCTGCGAACTGGAGAGCTTAACTAAAGATATTCGCTGAAGATATTCAGTTAAGCTCTGCAGTGAACATCTTCACTCAATGCGCGCACGTACTGCAGTAAATATATTCGCTGAAGGTCTGCACTGAAGATCTTCAGTGGGGATCGTGACTGTATGGGGTAGTGTCATGGGGCCCCCTTGTGGCCCTCTTCGGTCGACTAGGAGACGCATCGGAGCCCGCGTGGGCCGCGTTGGTAGCCTCATGGAGGCCCATTGGGAGGAGTTCGCCACGCCCAAGACAAGGGGGGGGGCAGGGGAATAGGGACCACATTACACGCACCGACAAGGTCGGCTGATTATTGTCGCGCATTTATTTTATTTTTTTGACGGAAAAATTTTCCCTCGCGGGGGGGGCTCCGAGGGAAAATCTGGCGGGTGTAAAAAATCAAAACCCTGTGTTTTTACAGTGTTTCGAATTGCTTTACGCCCGCCAGATTTTCCCTCGGACCCCCCCCCCTCGAGGGAAAATTTTCCCCTTTAAAAAAAACAAATGCGCAAAATAAAATACGCGGGCGCGACGCTGCGTCGAAATGCGCGTCAGCATGTCTAACCGAATCCAGCCGAAGCGCGAGGCCCGAGCCCCCGTCCCAGACAGCTCACATGTTATGGGTTACATCATGGCTGTGAATACCGTGTCATCTGGATGTTCGGCTCCGCAGTCCCCTGGGATGCGCATGAAGCCTGTGGCGATCATACCAATATCGATGTCGCCAGGTTCCAGTGCGAGCTCGGCGCCTGCGTCGTCATGAGCAGGCGCGGCAGCGCGGCCAAGCTCGCGATCAGCTCGCGCATCGGCGCGGGCAACATCGACATCGACCGCTCCAGCATCGCCAGTTCGACCGTCACCTCCGGGGTGCTCCGCGGCCTCGGGGGGGTGGATATCCAGGTCCATGTCCTCGCCGGCATCAATGATCTCCTCCGCGAGTGCGGGGTTGTCCGGCAGCAGCCCCTCCCCCATCGCGACAGGCTCGGCATGGCCAGCTTGATCGTCGACAGGGGGTGGATCGGCATCTGGCGCCCCAACAACGCCAGCTACACTGCCACTCTCCAAGCACTCATCGGCATCATGAGGGACCGAATCGGCGCCCGCCTCGTCCATGATGTTGCGATGGTGAGTCTCCACGTCGGTCTCCACGACAGTGTCCGCCATCGCCTCCAGCCCTGGGTTCACCAGGCCATTGACCGCCAACTCCATCGGGTCAGCAGGCACGGCGTCGGCGACAGACGCGTCGGCAACAGACAAAGACTCGTCGACGTCCGAATCGGGGAAGTCGTCGTCTGAGGCGACAGACTGGCGCTGGCCAACAGGGGCGTCGGAGCCACGAACCACCCAGTCGCATAAAAGGGTCTGCGCGTACTTATGCGGGGCTCTCTTCGAAGACGGCCGCTTCATGACGGGGGCCCCCACGGCGGGCTTCCTGGCGACCTTCTTCCGGCCGCCCATGGCTGAGAACAATAAATCCAAACTGTAGTTCGGAAATCCGCCGACCCTGTCGGCGCGCGTAAGGGGCTTGCCCGTTCGGGATCAGTCGACGCGGGCCGGGGGGCCCCGGGGGGGGGGGGGCGGCGGGGAGGGGGCGTGGATCAGATAACCACATCAAGCCGAGACTCCTGCGGTCAGGCCCAAAAGACTCCCATGGTAAAATCGCGATGCTGGCAGTGCCGGCGTTGTTGGCAGTAGCGGCGACGATGCCAGCGGCGAGTAATGGGGGGGGGAGGGGGGGGGGAGGGGGGGAGATGATGACGAGGAGGAGGACGAGGAATAGGATGAGGGGGGGGGAGTACGAGGAGGAGGATGATGATGATGATGAAGCGCCTTGAAAGGTCGGTTCTCCCAAAACACAAACCTGAGAAGCCACCAATACGCCAAATGCGCACGGTAGAGAAAGAGTGAAACGGGAGGAGAGGCGGGAGAGGAAGGAAGCGGGGGAAAGGAGAAGCCCAGCCCAGGATTGAAACCCATGATACTGAAAGAAGTCATGAATGACAGACTGTCCAATATCCCAAATGAATCCCACCACAATGTCTCTCTTGCGTTGAATGAAGATGGGAAAATGAGAAATGTAATGCTAGATAATGAAGGATGGGAGGAGCAGGAGGAGGAGGGGGAGGAGGAGGAGGGGGAGGAGGACCCCAATCCCGCGCGACAAATCATCGTCTTCATGGTCGGCGGCACTGGCCGTCAGGCCCTCGCAAATCTCAGGCCATGGAAACTGAGCAACTGAGCCGACATGGGCTGCAGACGTTGGGGGCTGGGTGTGACTGCCCCCCTGTTTCTCAACATCTTCCTCAACCTCGTCGCGCCCTCTCGCGCAGCCCGAAACGCGAGAATCGAAGCCCTCTCGCGCGGCCCAATGGAAAGGGGCAGCTCTCAGGTCCAGGCCGCGAAACATTAAGCGCGGTTATCTTCGCACCCCCGCTCTATTCTGGCGCGCGCCCGGGGGGGCGGGGGCGTCTCTGGGGGCTGCCCGGCACATGGATCAGATCGCGGACTCCGACCAAGGAAGGGGGGACGTTGAGAAGGGATGGTTATTCAGAGGGCCACGGCGACGCACTGTACACACTGGTGCGCCATGGCCGCGCCCTCAAGGCATCTCG